GGGTAATGATTCAACACAAAGATGGACCATGTGTTGGTGTTTTTTATTTTATTTTATTTTATTTTTTATTTAGTGTCAATTTGTATTGTTGATTTAAATTTTTTTTTCTCAAAACGTTCATATTTATAATGAAATTATCAAAATTGTAAAATGTTAGTCCAATACATATTGAGTTTAGATTGTGTTAATTTTATAATTTTCATTAGATTGCAATACAATACAAGGTATGTACTTAGTTGTGCCTCTTTTTGTATATTTAAGTTTTGATGATTTATTTATTATTATTATTATTATTTTTTTGTGATACGAGGATTGAAACTATGTTGCAAGACCCTAATTGATGGCGAAAAAGGATAATCATTCAACACAAAGAGAGCATGTGTTTGTTTGTTTATATTTACTTGGTATGAAAACAATTTGGTACATCAATAAAATATATGTAGTTCAAAATTCTCATTCTACTAAAATTTGAATATTAATAAATCTACAAAAATAATAATAATACCATTCTAAATCTCCTTCTACTTCTACTACTATATTAATGTCAATAAAATTACATTTTTATATATTTGTTTTGAATTTATAAATTCATTTTTTTTCCTTACAATTATATCCATTGTGAAGTATATGAATCAAATTAGTTTATGAACTATCTTTAAACATATTTAATTTAATTTAGTTTTACTTTTGTTAAAAATATGTCTGGTGAAACCAAAATTCAGTCTCATTGAGTTTTTCACATCTTATCAAATATTTATATCGAATGGTTCAAAAAAAAAATTTATTATTTGTGTTAATAAAAATATATTTTTTTCCAAAGATTTTCATCATACAATTTTAAAATTTTAATCATGAATATATTTAAAAATGTATTAAAATCAATAAGTGTGTCAAATATATTTAACAACAGGCCAGTAGCCTAGCGGTACCAAGCCCCTACTTCTCAAAGAGAGGTCGGGGTTCGAGCCTCAGTGGAGGTATGTATTAATATGTTGTATGCTTTCAGTTCATTGCAATAATTTTACCATTGCATGTTGTTATTTTCGTGAAAACCAGCACCTCATTTTATTTGTTCAACATTGTTAAAGCTTCACTTAATCGTCATTCCTAACATTAACTATTATGATTTCTCTTTTATTAATTAATTAATAAGGTGGACCTTTTTTTTTTTTTTTTTAATTTTTTTTGGATTTTGTTATGATGGATGTAAGAAAGGCATATCAAAATATTTACTTTTTTTTAATTTACTGACAAATTATGCTTTATTTACTCACGTGCATCGCACGTATACATTGACTAATATATATATTTATATATATAAGGCTTCTGTACAATCGACACATCAATAGGGAGATAATCTGGTGCGGCACAATGTATATATATATTACTGTGCGCGCGGATATTGGCCCTTGGATGGTGCTGATGAGGGATGGATGATTCAGTGTGGTGCGGTCTAGTCAACAAGGAAATGATACGGTGCATCGCAGACCATGGAAAGTGGTGCACACTCAGATCTAAATCGTTGACTTGTTTTGGTCAACATATAAATGATTCGGTGCGGTCGCATTCACAGTAGCGATGGAGCTCAACCAATAGATTTGAGTGGATACAAGAACTGCCTTGATTAGCTGTAATCTACCATAGGGGAGGGATCTTGAAGACCAATGAGAGATTCCGTGGGTCATTTTGTTGATTAGAATACTGCAGTGGGAGGCTTTTAAGCAAGTTGTGATCAAAGGTACTCCAAGGTATTTGACAGGAAGAGTCCCAGAGCCGATGCCAATAATTGACGTGATTGCCTCTCGTGTGTGGGCATCTACCCCAGCAAGAAACAGTGAGCTTTTGTTGAGGTTAATTTGCAACCCAAACATTGAGCAAAAGTGGTCAAGTGCCGATTTTAGCACAGAAACTGAAGTGATATCCCCATGTAATAGCAGTAGCAAATCAGCATAGGAAATGTGAGTGATTTCAGGATCTTTGCATCTCTAATGATATTTGAAGACATGATATTTGGGAATTTTGAATTGAGTGATGTGAATATATGGTATTTTTACTGATTTCCTCATACCACCACCAATCAAGATCGACCAAACCATGCAAGTAACCATCACCCGAAGTGGAAAAGCAAAGGATGAAAGCCGATTAGAGAATTTAGAGGAGTTACCTAAAACTGGCAATGGTAGCATCATCGGTCATCACTCGTCGACGTCACTCCTCGAAGATGCCATTGGTCACTTTAATTTATTGAATTTAAAGGGAAAGGAATTCCTATTTTAGTTTGGATGTGAAATGGTATTTGGAATGAAAATAATATCATATCACTTTGTTTATATTAAAATAAATAAATTTTTAAAAACAATTATATAGACACGAAATTGTAAAATGAGTCAATAAAAAAAAAAAAAATCAAAATGAGCCCGTAAATTATAAATGTTTAAAAATAATTTTTTTAAATAATCCTTTTTTCTCTCTCTCCCCAGCATTTCTTGAATTAAGTACTGCTCTAATGGCTATTTGCTTTATCCTTTCTATTTCTTTATGATATTTGCTTGATATTTAAAGGGTTAATTACATAAAAACCAACTGAACTATTCTCTCTCCGAAAAAACCTCCTTAAATTAATATTTCTAACAATTTTACAGTTGAGAAACTAATGGTTTAATGAAATGTATATGCCTAACAAGGTAATGCTATCTATCTCGTGACAAGAGATATGGACTTTTCGTATTTAATTTCTTGAAGTATGTAAAAAGTCAAAATATTTATTTATTAATAAATGTTTTAATTCAACTATTATCATCTTGGAGGGACTCTCATAGTATAACATTACTCTATTTTAAATGAAGAGTTACTTCCATTAATATAAGAAATAAATAAAGAACAACTCCTACAAAATCAAAGGGACTAAAGGAGTAATAAATATTTTAAGCTTTATTTTGGAATGAGAAAATAACTTATATTTTACATCTTCCCACTCTTTTATTAATTTTTAATTTTACTGCTCCATTTGTTTTGACGTAAAATATTTTTTTTCATTTTTTAGGAAAAATATTTTTGTATTTGTACTTTTTGATGTTTGACAAAGGTCTAAGTCGAAGTTTAGGTCGAGTCTTTCGGGCGGGACGTATAAGATAACTTACTAAAAATTGATGGATAAATTATTTTTGTAAAATTTTAATATATATTTTTTTCGTAAATATTTTAAGACAAACAAATACCAAAAAAATAAAAAAATAATTTCTGTAAAATATTTTACATCCAAACAAACGGAGCCTACACGCCGTTAATTCTTCCATTGTGTTCCATGTGCTATGTCAAGCAATTTATCCCAGTAGTAACACAAACAAGACTATAAAATAACTTACCAGAGACCAGTGCCGTTCATCCTATGTAAAAAACCTTTTTATTGCATACCCATGACTAGAAATTTGCTTTGCTCAAAGTTGATGAATTCCATTGCCCTTAATCATGTCAATCTACCCTTTTAATAATTACTTAAATATGTTGATCGATAATGTTAAAACAATACACACCTAATTAACTAAAAATGTCAATAGACAATATTAAACAATCCTTCCACCTTTAACCCAATCAAATAGACATGTTTAACATAATTTCTGACCTCTCCAATCAAATAGACATGTTTAACATGATTTCAGGCTATTAGATGTCTTAACTAAACATTAAAAAAAAAAAAAATCGTCTAAATCGTTATTTTCCTTTTTGAGCATAGATCCAGGTAAGATTTGTCTCAGCCAGTGAGCCACGACTACTTGCTTGGTCCTTCCTTGTATATCTTAAAATAATTTAAGCACATGTCAAGCACAAACAAGGAGGTGCATAATAAAAATATATAAATAAGTAGTGTACTTATTCAATAATTAAAATTAGAGGTTGGACATATACATTCAATAAGTGACAAGAACAAAACAATCTAAATTAATCACTTTTCAATTTATTGACTGGGATTCACAATCTAGACAATTATAAGAAACCCAAGCACTTAACTTATTTTGAGATTGGTTAAAGTAAAAGTTAACTTGAAATTTTTTATGGGACACTGCTTGGGTTCTTTCTTTGGAGGATAAATTTTGTTCTCCCAGTTGATGTGGCTCAATACAATTTAGACACATGTTTAAATTTTTTTAAAAATAATCATTACTTATTTTCTTATAGGTTAAACCGAATCCCATTTTTTTTTTTTTTTTGTCCTTTCCAAAAGAATCACTATTGTTTTTGTACCCAATTTCCATTTGAAATTGAAAAATTACTAAATTTATTTAAAGAATGTACTATATCAAGTGTTAAATATAGAATGAAAAGGAGGTTAAAATATTATATAGAAATTTAATGTTAATTTATATTTGAATAGACCTTTTCTCGTATATTTACTTCTGGTCCTAGATCTATTTTTTTTTTTTTTTTTTTGTCACAGTTTGATTAGATCTATCTTTTGGATCTCTCCTAAGTTTCCAACATCTTCAATTAATAGGGCTAACAGTTTACATATATATATATATATATATATATATATTTTGGTTTAATATGTAAGAAGTTGGATAATAACTATTATTAAAATTTTTAAAATTTTGATTATGTATTTAAATTATATTGGGCCACATCATTTGTAAGGATAAAATTCATCCTCCTGTGAAAGAACCCAAATATTATCCTTTCTTATTAGATGAGCGAGATAAAATTCAAGCATCAGTTTTGAACTATTTAATTGTTCAAATTAAGCTTGATCACAATACCGGTGACTCATTTATAAAACCTTACTAATTGCACCAAAGCAGACAAAAATTAGCCGGCAAGCGTTATTATGATGAAAAGTTTATTCTAAATAAAGTAGTGTAATAAATATACGAAATAGAAACTTAAATTTGCTAAGGGTATCAATGTCCTTTCAGACATAGCTAAAGCGCGCGCACAAGACGAGGCATTCCTAACCTTAAGAGGCCTTTATAATCGTGGGAGAGGGGGGAGGCACCAAAAAGGCTTCTTCTACACTATTCTCTTCTGCAACTTTTACAGCTACCGAGAGTCTCTTACATCTCCGGCGGCGGAGGAGGAAGGCAATTGATTGAAGATGGAGGAGAATGAGGAAGAAGTATCATTGTTTTTGGTTGCGACTCTAGTTGGTGGGCCATATTGTGCTGCAATTTACGAAATCAAATTTCGAGTAGGAGAAGGAGGAGGAGGGGGATCTAAAATTGCAACAGTTTATCCTCTGAAGAAAGCGTTTGGTTACTCAAAAAAGAAGAACAGAGGATATTCACCGGTTGGTTGTGATATCTCAGGATCTCACATGTTGGTGATGGCTTCATATTGGGATCTGCATGTCAGTTTTGAGCAGCTTCAACCCCTAATTTTCGATACAAATACCAAAGAGTGTTTCGAATTGGAAGGGCCAGAGGCAACAAAACCTTTCCCCCTAGTAATGGCCGTCGGTGAAAGAGGGTTTTTCATATTGTGATGGTTATTTATACACTTTCGGGCGTAGTTATAACTTAATTGCATATCAAGTCGTTTAGAGTGATTGTATCATTGAATCTATTGGTGTTCCAGTGTATTTTAGGGAACTGGACTTTAAAGATCTACCAGTAGATTGCGATCCCGCGTTCTCTGGTTGCTTTGTTCATTTGGGAAACCCAAAATTTTGTATGATGAAGACTGGTTTCAATGTTGACCCCTCCAACTTTCAATATGTTTCCATCTTGATCGTCCAAGTTTCTGATGACATGGAGGAGCTTTCAACGTTGTGGTCGGGTCTCTGCGCCTTGAATATAGAGAACCTCGCTCCCGCAAATTTAACATCACTTTTTTTGGACCCCCAGTAAGTATTTGTGTTTTTTATTTAACATTACTTTGTTTGGACTCCAAATATTTGTATGTTGTTGTTTATCCGTTTGAACACTACGAAAATTAATCAAATTGAGGAAAGCAGCCTTAGATGTTTTAACAAATTGAGTTTATTCTCCAATTCATTTATGTTTGGTACCTTCTAAGGTTGAAATTTTGAGTTAAACCAGTCTTTAGATGTTTGCTCAAGCTTCTACCAATTTGAGATCTTTTCAGATTCCTAGAGTTTGAATCTGTTTTCAATGACAAATTAACAGATCTCAAAAACAGGTTGTTTCTGCATGATTTTAGATCATAGCAACCAGAGGAAGTTGACGAGAGCCGAACTGATTTTGAGTAAAAGGTTGTTGATTGGTAGTAATGAGCGTTATCAAAATTTGTGATCTGTAGCTTCAGAATTTGCCCACTTTGGAAGAAGCTGGCAATCTCTGATTATGGGATATTATGGGTAAAACTATAAAACTGTACATTTATGTACACATATTTTTATATACCTATCAAACATTTTTTAAAAAAGAGTACTTAAAATTCACACAGTACCAGATGGTTTTTCTGGTTTGCCACTACCTTTCAAAATTGTTAGGTCTTAAAATTTTCATAAATGAATGTCCGACCTTGTTACCTTTCAAAATTGTTAGCTCTTAAAATTTTCATAAATGAATATCCGACCTTGTTTTTTGTGAAACTGTAGTTAAAATAATAAAGGTGTTATTGAAAAGTAACAAAATGATTGAACTTGAGAATTTAGACATGGCGAGTGATGTTTTATTGGATTGGCTTCTTATGTATGGACTCAAAAGAAGGCATGCATGAAAAGAATGAAATACTATCGTTGTCCGCGTGTTAGAGTGGAGCACAGGGTATGGCTGAGTGCCAGGAAATGAGTTTAAAATGTGAACTCAACGGGGTTTATCCTTGTTGTTTGACCATTCATTTTGTGTTGAACATGGTAAGCTGATCGATCAAGTATCGCTAGGTTCATTCTCTTGTAAGGTAATTATGATCATGGTTTGGTTATGTATGGGTTTATTTAGACAGTTTTTGTGCCACAAGGCTTTAGAACAGGAGTATGTTTTGGTAATGAAGAGTTTTAAATATTGGAAGGGTGTGTTTGATTGCTGATTATATCAGAGGCAAGTTTTAGTTTGTTGCAATTACCAGCCTTGACCAAAATTATTAAGTTGCATGATTTGTTGAGATGAACCTAAAATTATATTATCTAAGTATTAAGGGAAATGTCCTGCCATGCAAAATAAGAAACAGGGAATCTGACAATGTTATATATGTCTTTAAATATGCATACATGGTTGTTGAGGGGTATAGAGATGAAATAAAAACACGAATAAAGTTCAAGAATTATTAAAAGATATGCAACTGCAAACCTGTGATACCTTTTCTCCCATGAATCCTTATTAGGCTTTATTATTCCAATAATATTTTTCATTCAAAGAAATTTAATTTTATTAGCAAATTGTCAAACATTGCTGTTGTGACCTGAATTTTGTTTCAGCCTGGGTCGCGCTGCGACTCAGTTCTACTGGAAAAGTGAGTTTTGTGCGGGATTAAAAAAAAATTTGACCAGTTTTTTGGCTTGCGGGTCGTGGACCATATTTAGTACTCTCTTGTAGCTTGGTATATAAGGGCGTTTAGTGTTTTGAGTGGGATAGAGTGAGACACTGAAAATTGCTGGAAAGAGAGCGAGAGCTAGGGTTTGGGAGCTGAATCTTGTAATTTCCTGGTTTTCACATAGTGAAATCTTTAGAGGCATAATTTGTGCCAAACCACATAAATCTTAAACGTTCTTGTGTGTGGCATGCTTACTTTTCTATAGTGATTCGTGATTTGTTCTTGGTTCATTGCGCTTGTAGTAACAAGTGCTGTTTATCTGGTGTGTTCTCATTTATGTATCATACGTATTGCGTTTGGAACTATAATAAGCACGGCCTTTTTATTTGAGGCATACGGATCTATATAAATTGAGTAATACATATATAAATTATGCCTGTTCTACAGATGTGAGCCATTAAGTAATAAAATCTTTTAGATGCACTTCCCTTTATCTACGTTTTGTTTCCTTAGTATGTAAGGTGGAGTCCCATTATGTGTTGAGGCACAAAGCCTTCGATCTTTTCTGTCGATTTTATTGTTATTTTATTTGACTCAAATGTCATTTGTTTTGCAGGCAGAGCAAACATGCCTACAAGTCTGAATTCTGGACAAGTATGAATTGTTTGATACACAGTTGCATTCATCTAGAGGCTGCAGCTTTGATTGTATTTTGCTCTTATATATATATATATATATATATATATGTCTGTTGTAATTATAAATAACAATAATAAGAATAACAATAATAATATATAGCAGCCTTATTGTACATTGTACTTTGATCGAATGTCAGCAAAGAACTCAACGTGGAAAGGGTTTTATTTCAGGAGGTCCTAATGTTCAGTCTGAGCAGTTTTGAGGATCTCAATGTTGACATGCATCTGCAGCCAGTGAACACTGATCCACCAAAGCCGGAGTCAATACCTGAGGTCAGTCAAGCTGATAGAAAAACGAGTCTTCTGCTCAGCCTCAGTTTTTAGAAATACCCAAATCATACTGTTATCCATTTTTCAAAATATTTCTTCTGTAGTTGCATTTTACTACTTTTCAAAGAATGAGTTCTTAATTTTTTTGGGTGTTTTGTAATTAATTAAATCTTTATTATTTCCTTTTCACTAATCCCCTAATCTTATGTTGGTTGTTCACCCTGAAGGGTTGAACTTGGTGGTGAAGCTGCAGATTCTTTTCCCCTTTTTGTTTGGGGGTTGGGGTTTGCAGAGCGTATCTTAAACACCATCTCAGCTAATGACCGACTTTAATAAAAATTAAATATGGATAATGGGGATTAAATACAGAATATGATGTGTGTTTTTGTACTTACAAGGGGTACATTTTTGTGCAGGTTCGTTCGGTGGATGGTTTCCTGATGCTGTTGGGTCTTGAAAAGTATTCGAAGATGTTCGAATCTGAGGAAGTGCGTGTGTTTTATAGCTTTCCTTTGTTTACTGCAATTTTGTGTAGTGGCTTTGGTTTTACCATTACCTTAAGAAATTCCTTCACTATTTTGATGCCACATGCTTTTTCTGCAGATTGATATGGCCACTTTTTTACGCTTAACTGATGATGATCTCAAGGCTTTAGGATTACCAGAGGTAAATGCAGCTAGGCTAACCCTACTATATGTAGCATTTTTTATATTTTATTTTTTTATAAGTACTATATTTAGTTTTTCTCTGATTACCATTGCACCTTTAGAAACTATATGTTTTGGGCTGATTGAGAGCTTGCAGAAATAAGAATTTAGTGTAAAGTACCCTCAAGAGGTTTTTCAAAATTTTCTTCAGAAGAAACTAGTTGAAAGAGTGTGGTCAACCTCTGTTGAGGTTTTACAAAATCACCCTAACTGCTCGTTGTCAATCAACTAGGTCATTCAAAGGGGTAAATTTTAAGTTCCAAAAATACCCTTATATTAAGTAAACTAAATCACACACGCATACTGACGGGTGGTGTATTAAATTTTTAACTAAATCACAAAAATAATGTATTTTGTGCACTTATCACATACATATATATCTATATACACATTTCTCTTTCCTGCTTCCACCATTGCTCTTGTAAAAGGGTCTATTATAGGTTCCTACCTTTTCCCCTCCTCTCTCTCTCTCTCTCTCTCTCTCGGACATATTGTCTGTTTGGAGTCAAATGAAGATTCTGATCTTTGTTATGGACTTTGAAATAGGAACTGGAATATGAAGTTCTAATTCAAATCTTAGTGTTCAATTTTATTTATGTAAACACTAATAAGCATGGTATTGGGGGCTTATTCGTATACCTCAATTTTACAAATAGAACTCCAAAGTGTACTTTTTTAGTTTCAAGGATTTGAAATTCGAAACAAATTCAGCTCTGTGCAAACAAGCTCATGTATACTATTAAACCCTGACTTTGAGCCTTCACACCATTTAGTGTGTTTGTGACATGAGGTTGGGGTGATTCATTTACCCGGGGTGACAAAATTGTCACGCTTGCTATTATGCTTTCCTTTTCTTTTATATGTAAAATTGAGTTTTGGAAATTGTGAAATCAGATTCTATTTTGACTTCCTTTTATTGTGAATCAATATATATATATATATATATATATATATATATATATATATATATATATATATATATATATATATTGTTTTACTTTATTTTAGCACATTTGGTTTCTCTATTCTTTTCCTTTTGGGTGCGTATGTTGAAATAACAATGTCAGATTTAATAGTTTTGAATTGTTTTAAGGTATTAAGTTAGTCTATTTCATTTCACCGATCAACTTGGACTTTCCTACATTTGAATTGAAAATCTAAAGTCCCAGGATGTTTTAAAACTAACATTAATACTGATCTTTGATTGAAGAACCAATGATTTAGGGTTCTATGTAATAGGGGAATTTTTCTCTTCTGTTCTGTTTAGAGCCTCTTTTTCACACTCCTTCCTTTGTATATCAACCTTAAGGTCCTCTAGCTTTCCAGCTGGAATTATTTAAAACCACATGGCTGCTTATTATTAGTTCAAACATCTATGATCATCATGTGTGAAACCATCTGAGTTTACTTTTGTCGAAATGGTAATCCACTGGTAATACTTGTAAGTTATTACATATGCCTTTCTTTACTAGTTTTATCATTTCATCACAGCATTCTTTGTTGAGCCCTGGACCCTTTAATTTATTTTTATTTTTATTTTTATTTACTGTTTTGTGTGATTGAGCTTTGATTCGGTTTTTTGGCTTGCGGGTCGTAGACTCTATTAAGTACTCTATTGTGGCCCAATATATAATGGCCCTTAGGGTTTGGAGTGGAATAATAGAGAGAAAATCGCAGAAAAGAGGGTGAGTTCTTCCGCCGAATCTTCACCGTGGATGTATGCTTCGTGGAACCAATCTAAATCTATGTTTTATTTGTGTGTGGCGTGTTTATTGTTAGTTGTGTTTCTTGGGTCCACTGTGTTTTTCGTAACAGTTTGTTATGTCTTGACTCAAAATAGTAACAACTTTTTCCTCTACCGGGTCAATTGGGTTTGAAATTATACACGATTGCGTCTCCTGGTTGATCATTGTTCTTTTTGAGTCATGATATGTGTGTAATCGACTGCAATATAATCAAAGTTGGTGAAAATTTCACGTGATGCGACTCTTGAGTATCTGCCTCTGGGTTAATACAAATGTAGTTATCAAACTTTAGGGGTCTGTGATAAGAACAAGCATAGTTGTCAAAGGCGCCGAAGGCGCGCGCCTGAGGCGCAAGGCGCCTCCAGGCGCCATCTCATCGCCTGTATTGACTTAAGGCGCATGGTTGAAAGAAGGCGTATGCCTTTTGTGCATAGGCGCGAGGCTACGGGCGCGCCTGCTTGAAAATGTATTTTTAAATGGTTTTGTTTGTTTATTGTTTATGTATTGTTTATATTATTATCATATTATTTTATTAGTTACTAGTTAAAAGAAAAGCTACAAGTTGCAACAATTAAAAAAAGAAAAGAAAAAAAAGAGAAGCAAAAAGGAAAGGAAAGAAGACAGACTGACAGAGGCAGCGAGACGAGTGACGACTTGGACTCCGACTCTCGGTCTCGGATCTGCATCATCTGCTGGATCTAAGGTTAGTTCTTCTTCTCTTCTTCTTCTCTCCTCTTAGACTCCTTCTCTTCTCGGATCTGCCGGATCGGTGACCGGTCTCAGATTTTTTTTTCTTTTCTTCTTCTTCTTCTTCTTCTTTTCTTCTCTTCTTTTCTTCTCTCGGCTCTCTCGGCCGAGTCTTTGGCAGATTTATTTTTATTTTTATTTTTCTTCTTTTTTTATTTTTGTATTTTTTTATTTTATTTTTTTCTTTTCTTCTCTGGAGTCTGGAGTCTGGACTCACTGTGATGACTGTTGATCACTATTTTTCCATTCTAAGTTTCTATTTGTCTAACATGTTAATATGTTGTTCACTTCATATTGTATATTTGTCGAATGGACCACCATCATATTGTCTATGATCAAGTTTTCACCAAGTAATTACTTGTCTTACAACACAAGTGTTGTTATTACGTGTATAAAAAATAAAAATAAATAAAAAGAAATCCAATTTTGTAGTTTTCTTTTCTTTATTATTTGCCATCCATAATTTTCCAAGTACTGATGATATTCTTTTGGTTTTGAAACATACTAAATGAGTCATGCTTGGATGGTTCTTTCTTTCCATTTTGTTTCAATCAATGTTGATGGATTTTGGTGAGAATTAAGCTTATGAAACATGGAGAATTCTTAACAAACTTCGAACAAAAATAAATTGGTTGATCCTGGGCTCCCGATTATAAGACACCCATCTCACGAACCCTACTGCAAATTATCATTGAATTTTTTGTATTTGAGAGTTTTGTATGTTTAATTTAGACCCATAATTGATCCTTTGATTCGGAAATCAGCCACCAATAATCTTTTGAATTGAAGATTAACCAAAAAAAATGAGATTGATTTGATTTGAAAATATATCACATCCTTGGGTGGGTTTTGTTTTTTTTTTTTTTCAACGTGCGCCTCGCTTCAGTCGGGCGCGCGCCTCGCCTTGCACCTTGCGCCTTGCACCTCAGGCTCCCGGAGTCATTTGCGCTTTTGTGCGCCTTGAGCCTTTAACAACTATGAGAACAAGACATGACTTGAATGCACGAGCCGTACGTGATTGGCATCTACTTTTGAAGGAGCAAAAATAAATAAAATATGAGATTTGATCAAATTAGTGTGTATATTATATATATATATATATATATAGGGTAAAGTGCAATAAACAAGAAACCCCTTTCAATTATTAGTCAAGTGCAACTAACCCCCTGGAACTACAAATAACGCCCTTCAACTATGAATTTCGGTGAGAGATGGAGAAGTTGGATTTTGTTTTGTATTTCAAGTGTTCTTTTCTCGGTCCTTGTGAATGGAGCTCCGACGGGTTTCTTCTGCAATTCGAGGGGTTTGAGGCAAGGAGATCTGCTGTTTCCTTTTCTGTTCCTCATCGTGATGGAGGCTCTTAGCAGAATGCTGAGGAGGGCGGCGGATGTGGGTTTCTTGAGGGTTTTCAGGTGGGCAAAGACGCTCTTTGTCAGTTGGAGATTTCTCATTTGATGTTTGTTGATGATACTTTGGTTTTTTGTGATGCAGATGTTTCTCAAATGAGATATTTGAGATGCGTTTTGATATGGTTTCAAGTTGTTTCTTGATTGAAGATTAATGTGGGAAAAAGTGTTTTGGTTCCGGTTAGGGAGGTTCCAGATATTTCTGTTCTTGCTGATACCTTAGACTGTTGCATTAGCTCTTTTCCTATCCTCTTACTTGGGGCTTCCTTGCGGGACGCCGTGGAGGAAAATGGGTTTTTGGGATCCAGTGGTGGAGAGGTTTGAGAGAAGGTTGGCAGGCTGAAAGAAGCAGTATTTGTCTAAAGGTGGAAGAGTGACTTTGATGAAAAGCACTTTGTCAAGCCTTCCTACTTATTTCCTCTCTCTCTTTCAGATTCCTCAGCAACCTTATCTTTCTCTCTCTCTCTCCCCCTCTCTCACACACACACACACATGTATGCATGTTATTCTTTCTTCTTCTTCCCCAATCTCGACCATGGACGACCAACATTACCATCTCTCTCCACTGCCATCTAAGCCTTTATCACAACCGGCCATCTGCCAGGCCACCACACACATATGGGTATACTGCTTCTCCCCAATCATCTCAACCATGACGGCTGCCCATGTCCACTGTCAACAAACAACACCACCTCTCTCTCCACCAGCACTCTCCTATCTCTCAGCAATTTCTCTCTTGGCCTTTATATGCTTTGGCAGATTCAATGGTGGTGTCGAATGTGCGGAACCAAACCGTTGACCAGCGCCAGTTCGGATCTGGGATCTCCGTCGCGAACTTGCCCCACGGCCTTCGCTGGACTCCTCTGTAGTGTGTTTTCTCTGTTTTAAAGGGCTTCTTTACATACACCATTGTCGTCGATGGCCGAGTCGACTCGATGAATTCCAAAACTTCAAATTTCTTCACATCGTTCTTCTACGAGGCCTGCAGTTGTTCAATCTCAACTTGGAATTCGATTGAAAGTCCAAATCGGCCTTCAGTGGTGGTGGCCGGCCCATTCATCAAAACCGAACTCGCGATTTGGAGACTCAAATAGAATTTGAACAGAACTCTCTCCCCCTAACACGTCAAAGCCCTAATCTATCTTTTTGTTCTAGCTGCCGTTAATTACATTCAAGCACATAAACTTGTTGCCTCTTTCTCTCTCTAAAACAAATACACTACACTTGAATTCACTCTGTTTTTTTGGTGACAACATGGATGTTAAAATTAAGCAGGAAAACATAGAAGCTAGCTAATTGCCATATGAATAGATATAGGATGAGTAGTTCCACTATAGTAGACTATCATTGGCTGATTTATTTGTGATGAGTAGCAGTGGCCACTGGCCAATAGTTAATTGAAAAATTCCGGCAACGAACAGTGATCAGGGTGAAGAATCGAAAGAGAAATAGGGCAGGTTTGGTTGGTGTTTAGGTGTAAAAAGAAGGGCAATAAGGTCTTTTAACTTTTATAAGGGATGTAGGGTCATTTAAATAAATTTGAGTTGTCATGGGACTAGGAATGGGCAACTTAACAGTCAAATTCATCCACCGGTCACTGGAGTGGGTAAATTGCAACCAAAGTGGTTAGTTCAGGGGGTTTTCTGCCACTTTTGTAATTTAGGGGGGTTATTTGCAAATAGGAAAATAGTTGAAGGGGATTTCTTGCACTTTACCCATATATATATATATATATATATATATATTGAGATAAAATTAGGGTTATTTCAGAGTTTTCTTATTTTAATATTTTATCTTGTAGTTGTGTTTGATTAGGATTTTATTTCATCGCCAATATATATATACACTTTTTGATGATTTTTTTTTAATGAGCATGTTGTTTTAGTGATTTTGTCTCTATATTCTCCCTCTCCTATCTTTCCTCTCCTTGTTCTGCATTTATTTGGTGTCAGAGCTTTCCCCCCTACTGCAAGTGGTGTCAACATTATAATGAAGTATGCTTTTAGATGAAGACTAATTCTGTCTTTATTGGATACAACCTCTCTAAGCAGTTAGTTGGCACTGTCTCTATATTTGTGGATCATTCGATTCATGGGTCGTGATTATGCTTCTCTTTTTTTCTTCTTTGTTAATATCAGTAAGAGATTTGCCTTCCATCCTCCAAAATTTTAGTCTCTTGCTCATTTTTCAATCATTTTGCCTCTTTCAGGGTTCAAGAAAGATGATACCTTTGGAGATTAAAAACTTCTCTATTTCATTGTCAAATACCAAAATTGCCCCAAAAAACAATGTAAGTACGTTTGAACACTCATTTTTGCCCTGTTTGGCAACTGCTTTTTCTTCGTATTTTTTGTTGTTGTGGAAGGCAAAAAGTTGTTTAGTAACTTTTGTTGCAATTTGAATAATATCGTTTTTTTTGGAGCATTAATAGAATATTATTTTTTAGGCATGTTGACTCTTTCGTGAAAATGTAAATTGAGTGAGCACCAAAAATATAATAATAATAATAGGATGGTTGAATGAAAATGCTATGCATGCTGTAGTGAAGAATCTGAACCTGGTGACTTTTGGTACTCAAGACTACAAACCTTAAAATGTAGGTGTTTTTTTTGTCTTTGAGAATCGAACTTGGGACGTCTAAATTTTATAACTATAACCATTTTGATATTGTTATATTATGTCGACAACTTTATCGTGCAAATTTTCTCATTTATATTTGTATGTAGGTGGCTTGATTTTTTACTTGGAGGATTTGAAGTTTTGGTGAAAATTCCTGCATCACATCTAGAAGCAGACTATTTGGCATGATGGATTGTTTGATTGGAATTTTTTGTACAGGCTTTTAATTTTTTTTTTCTTTTCCACCTTTTGTTGAAAAATGGGTAAAAAAAGGTTAATATACACACTCTCTTTCATAAGATAGTTTGGATTATTTTATTTTAATGGAGAATATCAGTTGAATTGTAGTGGTACTAATTGCCTATATATGACTGCTTAAAATTAATGTGAGTTGCATATATATATATATATATTTGGATACTAATTAAATGAATGGTTTATAGCTAGATTGAGTTTCTGGGTAAGACGATGAAACAACCATGAATTTTAGTTTTCATATTTTGAAGGTGGGAATGATTTTGGATAATGTGTCAAATTCCTTGATGTCTGCAGGGATTTAAATTGTTTAATTCAGATTTAAAAATGATATATAATGTGACAGCATTACATCGTTGTAAGAAAAATTACAGGCATTATGTTTCTCTTTCAATCCCCATGATCACAAGTTTGCTCATGTTGAATCTAGGAAGCACAGACCCTTCTTTGAAGTAGTCGTAACTGTGTCGGATACTGACACTATTCGAATACGTCAGATACTTTATTTACGTGTCCATAAATAAAAATTAATTTTATTATTTTGAATACTTTGCTGATACTTTCCGGGCAATTCGCCGACATTTATTATACAAGTCTATCCAGTAATCTTGAAAATAAATACTTTCATGACAAAATAGTGAAATAATGGTATATATGATATAAAAATTATTATGATAATGACATAATTTTATTTTATAATTCATTCGAGCAACTTTTATTATAGAAATTATAAATGAATTAAAGTTTTATAATATTATTACTGAATAGATGTATATATATATAGTTGTGTCTACGCCGTATTCGCTTTTTTTAAAATTTGATGCGTCAACGTATCCGTATTATATTGTGTGTGTGCTACTAGTGTTAAATAAATTCATTAGTGCTTGGGTGCATCTCTTGTATGAGTTGCATGTTCTAAGGCGTGGTAGAAGGATAGGAAAAAGGAAATGAAAAAAAAGGGGGTTTGGTAAAATGGATATCAATAGTAGAGTTCTTTGTCTTAATGAAATTATTATACACTAATAATAATAATTTCCTTTTCAATTCAATACATTTGTTTCCAATTTGGTCTCTCCTTCTGTTATTATATAGATCATCACTAGGCACACACAAAATGGGTTATATAATGGTTCCTCTTTGTAATGGCGGGAGGACTAGAGGCACCAAAACCCCTAATTTCCGATTTTAGTAGAAACCACTGTGGGTGGTGGCGGCGTCAGAGGAGGTAATTAAAGATGGACGATGCGGCAAGATCATTGCTTTTTGTTGGGAGTTTTGATGATGGAGCAGATTGTGTTACGATTTATGAATTCAAATTTTGGAATGGGGTAGTAGGAAGTGGATCTGTAACACTTATTGACCTTCTAGTGAAAACGATTCCTTCCACCGAGGAAAGAATATCTTCATTGGTTGATTGTGATACACTAGCAAGATTATCGAACGTATGCTTGATGGCTTCGTATAGGCCATAGGAGGAAGAAATTAATCCATCTACGACCCAAACTTTTCGATACACATCCAAAAAGCTCTATGAATTGCCAATCCCAAAAGTGATGAACCAAGAGGGGAGGTTGGTTTAAACAATTTACAGAGTTCACTAGATGGTGAAACCTTAATTTATCACAAGTGTTTGATAAAACTTCACAACCACAAAGACACAAGGTTTTTACAAAGAAAATACCCCGCAATGGAGATTAAAAAAACCTTGTGGGCTTCACCCAAAATCATCTACTAGTTGTTTGGAAGTTGATACACATTCAATTGTCTGACACTTTACACATACCCTACTCACCTTTATGTATACAACACTCTACCTGTCTTAAGCACCCTTACTTGGACCAATACAACTCTCACAACTCTTCAAATACTTGATGAAACATGAGTATACATCTTACAATAGTTGTTACAAGATATTAAGATAATTACATAGCTATAAGATGAAAACAGTACCCAAAGTACTTAAACATTTACGCAGAAATGAGGTCTAAGTAGCTTCAATACAAACCTAAAGTCGATCTCCACAGACTTATTTCAATAAAATACACTTGCTCTGATGATAAAAAAGATGAGTATAGCAAGGTATAACACTATTGTTAATCACATGTTTGATAAAGGGTTTTACACTTTCAATGTCAGACTTTTAATTACAGGTTCATCACTTATGATTTTGTTCCTCATAGTCACAGGGGCATTCTAGTCTTTCTACATCTGTGTGTGACCTTATTACATTTGCTAGGAATAGTACAGTGTACCACAGGCCTTAATTTTATAAGTTACATACATATATACATGCTGCTACAATTAGTTTTCTAATGTATTCATTGAAGGGCATTTCAGTAATTATGTCAATAGTCTCGAGGGTCTCTTGGTCAATCCATATTGCTGAGATTATGTGAGACTCTCTACAGATGGTGCATTGTATGAAATGGTCTACATTTGGTTGATAATGCTCAACATTTTTCTGGTGTGCAACATGTGACAACCAAGGGGTATTTGAGAGAGTTTGTGTACAAATGTGTTGCACGAACTACATGCTGCCACGTGGCTCTGTGGTCCTTTAGAGAGAATGTTGTATGTATATTCATCGGCTGTAGTGACAAGATCTTATCCATACTAGGGTTTTCATTGAGCCTTCTTGAAAAATTGTCTTTTCTGAAAAAGCTAAAGAGCTGAAAAATGAGCTGCAAAATGAAGAACTCTCGAGAGACCGAATGAAGATAATTTTCTAAGAGTTTAATCTGTCAAGAGAGCTGAATTTAACCTGAGAATAGCACTAGCAAGTGTATAGAATTTGAAGATGAAGAGGGGAGCTGATTGGTGTTGATTTTCTGGTGTAAAGGGAGGCTAAGGATGTCCAAAGCTGCTATGGTCACTTCTGGAGCTTGAACAAGGTCTGAGCATACATAACTTGGTGATTTACAATTGCAGAAGGTGCTTAGGACTACATCTTGAAGCTGGTATAGATTTTCATATCTCAAACCTCTAGTATGCATTGATTTTTTGGTTTATGCTTCTGAAAATGAACTTAACATGTTAAAATCAAGCTATACTCTGATTATATATCATCTGAGCATGCTTAGTTTGTTGATTTGAGGTTGGTCAAGTTGAGCTTTGGTCTGAGAAATGGTTGTATTCATTTATGGACTTATGAACCTTAATATTTAAGGTTTCAGCTGTTACATGTATAACCTATGAGCTGTTATTGATCATTGATGCTAGCACTGTTGTGACAATTATCTGAGCATCTATATACAACTGAAATATGACTGAGAGTAGTAAGTTCAAGACCATGCTGCTGTGAAATTCCACTTATGTCCCTGAGAACAGAATTATTGAAGAATATTGTCTTGAAGCTTACTTTGAACTTTGATTTGCTATTTACTTGCTAAAAACTGTGAAGTGGTAATTGGAGCATGTTTTATAGGTTAAATGAAAGTTGTGAGAACTGAAATCAAGGAGAGTCACGGATTTACAGAACTACCCCTTAAAACCAGAATATCACAGTTGTAGAAAATATACTTGATACAAGCTGTTATTTTGCTCTTGTGCGAGTTGTAGTGATTGAGCCCTTGTTGATATATCTTGTCCTAACTTTAGAACAAGTGTAATATAACTATGTTAAGCTAAGTGAGCCTTTGGTTGATGTGAATTTGAACTATCTTAAAGCTGTGTGTAGCATTTGCTGAAAATTAGTGTTGTAACCCTGAAGTTGCCGTTGTGACTATGTATAGCTTATACCTTGCTATATCTAATGTGTTTGATGTGTGAGCAAGTGCATATTGTCTATTGAAGACTAGGGGAATAAATTTTGGGGTGTCCTTAAAGCTGAATTACAAACTTACCCTTGAGAGTTTTGAAGAAAACAAGGCTGCTGTGCTATTACATTGTTATACCTTGCTTGTCTAACTGATTTTATCTCTTGAGCAAATGTATCTTGCCTATACAAGGCTATGGGAGTCAATTGCAGGCCTGAACTGAAGCTACATTGTGAAGAGACCATTCTTACCACAGTTTTGGGGTTTAAGCCTTTGTAAACAGAAAGTGTTATATCTTGCTTCTATCATTGGTGTATTCTGTTGAGCAAGTGTGTTTGAAGATATCAAGGCTATGAGTGACAATTGCAGGTCACTTCTGAAGCTGCATTGTGAAGTGACCCTTTAACCCTTGGTTTTAGGGTTTGAGCCTTTTAGGAGCTGTTATGTAATGACCCGGTCATTTTCCTTTCTTTTATTTTTCTCCATTTTTACGGGTTAAATTTTTTCGTTGAAATTTCCTTTCGCATAACCTCACTCTTCGTGCTTAGAGTTGATTTTTTTTACTTCACGTACTTCCTTCCTTGTTGGTTTCCTTGAAAGGCGTAACTTTACTTTTGGAAAAAAGATCGCCGGTTGTTTTTTTTCCCCGTAGGGGCGTGGATGAAAAGATTCTTTAGAAATATTTTTGTTTCTTGGGTTATTTTTCATAAATATCTTTTGAAGATATTTTGGTTTAGGGGTTCTAAGAAAATATCTTTTGGAAGATATTTTCATTTGGGGTCACTTGTGCAGTTATCCTTTTGTGTAGGGGCCTTTGTGCAATTAATAAAAGTTAATTGTTAAGTGTCTCCTTGGGGCTTGAATCCTCGTACGGGATTCATTTTTACATTTCATCGAGTCGTGTACTCTTAGAATTGTCTTGCGGTCGATCCCTACAGTTTTTGGGTTTTCGGCCCCAGTTAGCGCCAAACTTGTTTGGGGCATATCTCTCTACTCGGAACTCGGTTTTCCATGCCGTTTCTTCCGTTGATAATATTTTCTCATTTTGGTTCTTTTCGCTCACATAGTTTTGCCATTTAAGCGCGTTTGCTCAAATTTTACTTTTTCAGACCCGGCGGGACCCGTTTGGGGCACTTTTAGGGTTTTTCTATAAATAGGTGTCTCTAAAATGGAATATCAGATTTCTCTCTCTCTCTCTTTCCCCTCTCTTGGCTGGATTCCATGGCAGCCAAGGGCTACCACCTTCTCTCTCCTCCTTTGAACCTCTTCCCTTGTGATAAACGCCGTAGTGTCTTAGGCTTTATTGTTCGCCTTGACATGGCCTTCGATTCCAACCAATTGGAATTCCATTTTGGCCATTTTTCGAGTTTGGGTTTGAAGCCAAGTTAGGATTTTGGTAGGACTCCCTGGGGTTTAATGATCACCTTGTTGTCCTCGGCAAAACTCCAAAGTTTCATAGGATTCGAAGCGGTTTCATTCGGTGAGGATTTGTGATTTCATCCAAAATGAGGTAGGAGATGTCATAGGTTTATATTGAGTTGTATTAATTGTTTTGATAGCTTATACAACTTGTATGCATGCTTTAGTTCAAGTTCTAGAATTTAATTTAATTATTTTCTATGTTTAAGATTTAATTCTCATGATGGTATGTAACTTAGAATTAAATTGTGGCAGGCTAGTAAATTAGGCCTTGGTATATTTGTTAACATATATTAAATTTGGATCATTTGATTAAGAATTGCAAAACTTATTTAATAATTATCTTTTATGAAAGTTTAATTCACATAGTTGAAACACGCATGAAATCAACTTGTAATGTGATATTAAAGTAGGCCTTGGTGAGTTCTTTAACCTATATTAATTTGAGGATATTTGGAGTTGTTTGAAAATCTAAAGAAAATTAATTAATTAGCTTAATTAATTTATTTTAAGTGTTGTAGTCACTTAAATTGATATTGGGAAAAATATATGTGAAGACCTTGGTATGTCCTTTAACATATATTAATTTGAGTCTATTTGGAATCGATTTGAAATCTAGAGATTTTTCGTGTTAGGTTGATAACCTCCTGAAACTTAGTATGTTTAATTACTTTGTGAGCATATTACTAATTGGATGTAGAATTAGTACTTGTGGCCTCTTAAAATGGTAATTGGACTTAGCATGATATAGAATATCATTGACTTGCATAACTTATTTAAATATATCTTGTGTAGGTATATAACTTGTTAGAATATTACAATTGTTTACCTTGAAAGCTAATTACTAAATTAAAGCTTATTTAGTGCTTAAGGCTTAGGATGGTAATGTGGCTCAGTTGTTGTAAAATATTCTTACTTTGTGTATAAATTGCGTATTGAGAACATGACATGTCATATGCTATTTAGACTTGAATTCTAGGACATAATTTGTGTGGATTCAACCTTACTTGTGCATGGAATGTGGTGGCTTGCATTTGGATTTGTATAAGTTTCGAACTTGTTGATTTTGGAAAGCTTGTGAGGACTTAATTTATGTGATGGCTAGGTTTGGCTCTAGTACAGAGATAAGAGTCTTCTAAGTCACAAGTGCACACTAGGTAGTACCTTGTGGGTCGTAATTATCCGGAATAACTTATACATGTGCGCACTAGGTAGTGCCTTGTAGGTCGTAATTACCCGGAAACACTTGCTTGGTCTAGTGACCGCATGTCCTAGTCTTTCCACTATTTGTTTTTGCATTTAATTTCAAGTTGTTAATCATGGATTACTTGTAGCTTGAGAATTGATACTTACTTTGGGTATTTGAATCCTATTTAGTATACTTGAACTTGTATACTTGCTCCGTGAGTTCAAATTTCATTTAGTATACTTGGACTAGTGTACTTGTTTGTGTATTCGAATCTCTTTTAGTGTACTTGAATTCGTATACTTACTTCATGTGTGTATGTTTCATTTAGTATACTTGTGCTGTGTATACTTGTTTCATGCGCAATCATATTTGCTTAGTATACTTGTGGTTGTGTACTTGATTCATGAGATTTCCATATTAAATGTATACTTGTGTAAATATGCTTAAACATTCATGACTTGTCTTAATATGGTTTAGTATACTTGGAAATGTATGCTTATATGTCGTATAACATGTTTTAACATTGTTTAGTATACTTGAGCATGTATACTTGCATGTTGTTGTTCATTTTAATTGCATGAGTAACTTAGGATGATCCCTGAGTCTCACTTATGACATAGACATTAGGTAGCATGATCCTTTTGGATTGTTTCTTGTTAATGTAAAAACCTTGTAAAAAGTTAGGTCGATGCATGCTCATTCCCTACGAGTAACTTGTTTACTCACCTTAAAGTTATCGGGTTGTTTTTAGGTACGGATGCCTTGGTTTGGGATGCACAACATCCCTAGGTTGTTTCGGTGGATTGAAATTCTTTTAAATGTATTCTTGTTCACATGTAAGTGTTAGCATGTTTGAGTTTCACTTTTTAAGTTGTAATGCATAGTTAGGCCAAAAAGTCATTTTTTGCCTTGGACTTGTAATGTGTGCCTAAACACACTTTTTGACACTTATTTCATGTGTATGATATGTGGCCAAGTGCCAAAATTTAATTGAAATCCATGTATATTAAAGAATGTTGAATTTTGCCCTAAATGAGAATAATAAGAAAAACTAGGGTTTAATATGTCATTTTTGCACCGGTGCTTGCATTGTGTATGAAATTCATCTTTTGGCATTCATTTATCATATATGAGGTGTGGCCAAGGGCCAAACACCATTTTGTTTTAGGTTTTACATTCTTGTTTCATATATTGCATTTTTGGGCTAAAATAGAAAAATTCGAGCCTTTAAGGGTTCATTTCCAAATTAGGTAGTGTAAAGTGTGCACGAGCACCTCCACTAGCACTCTTATATTATGCATAAAGTGTGGCCAAGGGCCAAACGGTCTTTTGATAGCATTGAAGTTCGGTTCTTGCATTGTTTGTCTTTAAAAGGCAAATTTTTCGCATTTGAGGTTTGATAGGTCATATTTTGCATTGGCGGAATTTTAAGCCGTAGATCATTGTAGCACGTCCTAATGGGTAAGTTACGTCCGCGTGCATGATCGTTTCCATGCAAAACTATGCATAGGGGCATTTTGGGGTTTTCACATGAAAAATAGAGTTTTCTTTTGGCATGGTTGGTTAGAAAACATGATTTTTTTTTTTTTGGGGG